TTTGAGGGTGTGGTGAATGAATTAGAACCAGACATCCTGAGGAGTGAGGTTGAATGGGCCTTAAGAAGCATTGCTAACAACAAGGCAGCAGGAGACGACGGGATCCCAGCTGAACTGTTTAAAATCTTGAAAGATGATGCTGTCAAGGTGATGCATGCCATATGCCAGCAAATATGGAAAACACAAGAATGGCCATCAGACTGGAAAAATCAACTTATATCCCCATACCAAAAAGGGAAATGCGAAAGACTGCTCAAACTTCCGTACAGTGGCCCTTATTTCTCATGCCAGTAAGGTAATGCTCAAGATCCTGCAAGGAAGACTCCAGCAATACATGGAGCGAGAGTTGCCAGATGTTCAAGCTAGGTTTAGAAAAGGCAGAGGAACGAGAGACCAAATTGCCAATATCCGCTGGATAATGGAGAAAGGCAGGGAGTTTCAGAAAAACATCTACTTCTGCTTCATTGACTATTCTAAAGCCTTTGACTGTGTGGATCATAATAAATTGTGGCAATTTCTTAGTGGGATGGGCATCCCAAGCCACCTTGTCTCTCTCCTGAGGAATCTGTACAAGGACCAAGTAGCAACAGTAAGAACTGACCACGGAACAACAGACTGGTTCAAGATTGGGAAAGGCCTACGGCAAGGCTGCATACTCTCACCCAACCTTTTTAACTTGTATGCAGAACACATCATGCGATGTGCGGGGCTGGATGAATGCAAAGCTGGGGTGAAAATTGCAGGAAGAAACATTAACAACCTCAGATATGCAGATGACACCACTCTGATGGCCGAAAGCGAGGAGGAGCTGAGGAGCCTTCTAATCAAGGTGAAAGAAGAAAGCGCAAAAGCCGGGTTGCAGCTAAACGTCAAAAAAACCAAGATTATGGCAACAAGAATGATTGACAACTGGAAAATAGAGGTAGAAACCGTGGAGGCCGTGACAGACTTTGTATTTCTAGGTGCAAAGATTACTGCAGATGCAGACTGTAGCCAGGAAATCAGAAGACGCTTACTTCTTGGGAGGAGAGCAATGTCCAGTCTCGATAAAATAGTAAAGAGTAGAGACATCAGACTGGCAACAAAGATCCGCCTAGTCAAAGCCATGGTATTCCCTGTAGTAACCTACGGATGTGAGAGCTGGCCCTTAGGGAAGGCTGAGCGAAGGAAGAGATGCTTTTGAGCTGTGGTGTTGGAGGAAAGTGCTGAGAGTGCCTTGGACTGCGAGAAGATCCAACCAGTCCATCCTCCAGGAAATAAAGCCCGACTGCTCACCGGAGGGAAAGATACTAGAGACAAAGTTGAAGTACTTTGCCCACATCAATGAGGAGACAGGAAAGCCTAGAGAAGACAATTATGCTGGGGAAAGTGGAAGGTAAAAGGAAGAGGGGCCGACCAAGGGCAAGATGGATGGATGGCATCCTTGAAGTGACTGGACTGACCTTGAGGGAGCTGGGGGTGGTAACGGCCGACAGGGAGCTCTGGCGTAGGCTGGTCCATGAGGTCACGAAGAGTCGGAGACGACTGAACGAATGAACAACAACAACAACATCCTCCCAAAAAGAAGAAAGTCAGAAGTTCTGATGAGCATTGTCTGAAGATGTTTCACACGTGTATGAGAAGATTGCACAATTCTCCATCCCCCTTTTTAAAATAAATAAATTCCACTGAGCCTTGACTGAATATCTACCTACTTCAGGAGAGTTGCCAAAAATTGAGCACCTTGTTGACCAAGGAACTCTTTCACCTCTGGGGCCAGGAACCTGTAGGCAGTTTAAATGATCCAGAGCAACAGAGATGGGAGTTTTAGTTCACAAAACCCCACCCGTTTTCCAAAGCTAAGGAGGACCCCCTGGAGACTTTAGGGGCATCTACACTGTAGAATTCATTGTGTTTTCCTGCACTTGAATGGCTATGATTTGATGCTGTGGCAACCTGGGACTTGCAGGTTCTTCCTCTTTTCTGCCTAAGATTGCGGGGGTTGAATAGAAAAACAGAAGGAAGGGGGAAACACCCAGACAATTGTATTGATGTTTCACAAAGCGCAACTCCTTTAGAAAACTTACTATGCCCCTAGCCCTATTATTCTTGGTGTTTCTCAGGCCCCTTCCACACAGCTGTATAAAACCCACGTTGAATTGGATTACATGGCAGTGTGGACTCAGATAACACAGTTCAAAGCAGATATTGTTTTGGAAAGGCATGACCTTTTAGAAAACCAGAATCTCCATAGCCATTTGGAAGTGTGATTCTTTCTGGAGATCAATTGGCATTCACACTATTTGGAATAATCATAACTTTTTTTTTGTATAGTATGATCTTCCTGAGAAGAGTTAAAAACTCACTTGAGTCCATCTTCTCCTTAGTGTTAAATGTAGTATTCATGCAAGGCAATATAGGTTTCTCAGCTGTTAGACTGATATCCCTGGTTTTCTCTTTGAACTGTTAGGAACAAAGATATTCCAATGCATAAAATATATAGCTGATCTTCAGCATATAGTGCTTTTAAATCATGCTCTCAAGAGAACAAACAATAAGTAGTCTCCATTAAAAGTTAACCTAGTTGATTTACTTACAAAACTTCATGTATTCGGCATACAGGTACATTGCTTATTGGTTCAAAGTTTAAACAGTCTGGGTTGTTGTAGGTTTTTTCGGGCTATATGGCCATGTTCTAGAGGCATTCTCTCCTGACGTTTCGCTTGCATCTATGGCAAGCATCCTCAGAGGTAGTGAGGTCTGTTGGAACTAGGGAAAAGGGTTTATATATCTGTGGCTTCTCTGTGTAGTCTGACATGGTGTTTTCTCTGTGTAGTCAATGGCTTCTCTGTGTAGTCTGACCACCATGTCAGACTGCATAGAGAAGCCATTGAAATCCACAAGCATGTGGACAATTTCAACAGAAAGGAGGAAACCATGAAAATGAACACAATCTGGCTACCAGTATTAAAAAACTCAAAAATTACAACAGCAAAACAACAGAGTGTAAACAATCTGGGACATCTAATCACCTCTCAACAAAAGATTGCCCCAGGCACTGTCAGGCCATCAAATGCTAATCAAGGTGGCCAGTTGAAACATTCACACCTAGCTCCAGCAGACAAGAGTCCTTTGCCCCACCCTGGTCATTCCACAGATATATAAACCCACTTTCTTAGTTCCAACAGACCTCACTACCTCTGAGGATGCTTGCCATAGATGCAGGTGAAATGTCAGGAGAGAATGCCTCTAGAACATGGCCATATAGCTCGAAAAAAACCTACAACAACTCAGTGATTCCGGCTATGAAAGCCTTCGACAATACTTTAAACAGTCTGTTCTTTAAGCATTCTGTTAGCCTCTTCTCTGTTGCATACAAACTAACACTCTCTTCTGAGGCATTCTACACTCAACTAACTTCTAATGCATACTCACTACTATACTATACTCAATAGTACTGACTCAACTGTACTGACTTCATACTGATTTCTAAAATGGAGTCTTAGCCTGAATAGTCCCAGATCTGGTCACATGGTCTGTTGTCCTTCCCACAACCTCAAGCAACATAGAGTTAAGGGAAAACTCCATACCTATACATACACACACACTATAGTAAACATTCTCAATTATATAGATAACAAATAACCAGTATAGGAGGCTTGTAGAAGGTTGCTATTTCCAACATATTGTGGATTATATGATTTGATATTCTGGGTTATATGGCTATGTGGAGGGGCCGTCAGTTACTATGCTGGTAAAAAGGGAAAGTGTTTTAGATTATCCCCAAAGGGCAACAAGGCAATGGTAGGTGAAACAATTGCTTCTCTGTTTCTTTCTCTCTTTTGTCAAATGTGTCCATTCTCAGGGAATGTTGACTCAGCTGGCTTCAGCATCTGGGTCCCTGGGACAGACGGTCACACTCTCCTGTAGAAAAAGCAATGGAAACTGGAGCAGCACTGTCGGCTGGGTTCAAGAGAAATCTGGAGAGGGCCTTTGCTTTGTTCACTTCAATGGCTGCAGTAGCAGGGACCAGAGATTCTGGATGAGTTCACAGCGACTGCTTCTGGGAACACAAAAAAGTCAGAAGTTCTGAAGGGCGTAGCTTGAGGTTGTTTCATGTGTGTTTGAGAAGATTACATGATTCTCTCTCCCCCCCCCCCCCCGCTTTTAAAATAAATTAATTCCACAGAGACTAGATCAAAGATATGCTTAGTTCAGGACTTCATGTTGCCTGTCGCTTGAGTGTCTTGTTGGTGCACTTCCCATTGGAACATCTTCTTGACCGCTGTTGGAACAAAAGGTTGGACTAGAGATGTCTTTAGACTTGATGTCTCATGGGATTGATCTCCTGTTGTTAAAAATGGCCCCTGCTGCAGTGCCAAATCTATATAAATAAAAATGTAATGTCCGTTTGTGGGATTAACATAACTCAAAAACCACTGGATGAATTGACACCAAATTTGGACGCAATACATCTATCAGACCAATGAGTGACCATCACTCATAAAAACACTGAAAAACACAGAGGAAGAGACTTAAAAAACCAAAAAAAAATTACAACTCATGCACATATACACATACATACACACAAAAAACCCATATACACAGACAGGGCCACATCAACGCATGGCAGGGGATGGCTAGTATATAATATTTTCAACCTGGGGGGGGGGGGGGGGTTCTGCCCCTGACAACACTATGATAACATTAGAGGCCAGACAGGACTCTTACTAAACCAGTAAGACGTCCTCATGTTATCCCATGTTGAAGCACCCTGTTGCTTTGAGACTCATCTAAGCTATTACAGATCTCCGAGCCATTTTCATCCTATGCAATGGCCATCTCCATTTTATAAAACAATATCTATCATGTCAATGGATTCTGTTGTCTTTTATCCCACCATTTGGATACATGTTCCTGGGAGAGATATGAGGCTCTGGGGCAGATTTGCATAAGAGTTTCCTTCCTCACTTTGGGTTGAATTGAAAAAGGAAGAAAAAGGGAAGCACCCAGACAATTGTAGGGGTGTTTCAGAAAGCTCAACTCCTTTGGAGAACTCATCATGGCCCTGGCTCTGCTGTTCTTGGTACTTCTCAATTTCTATGCTGGTAAGGCAAAGAAGGGCTTTAGATCCTCCCTAACGGGCAACAAGGGACCAGTAGATGAACCAATTGCTTTTCCATTTGTTCCTCTCTCTTGTCAAAGGTGTCCATTCTCAGGGAATGTTGACTCAGCCAGATACAGTGTCTGGGTCCCCAGGACAGATGGTCACACTCTCCTGCACCAAAAGTGGGGGCGACTGGAGCAACCATGTGCACTGGTTTCAACAGAAATCCGGAGGGGTCCCTCGGTATGTGCATGGCAATGGCTACAACAGGGGACCAGGGATCCCGGATCGGTTCACGGCAACTGCTTCTGGAAACATAGGCTCTTTAACCATCACAAATGTTCAGGCCGAAGATGAGGCCGATTATTACTGTTTGTGTTGGTTCAGCACAGGCAGCTCGTATCACAGTGGTCCATTTTCATGGGGAAGTGAGACCAAAACCGTTGCTTCTCCTCCCAGGAAGAAGAAAGTCAGAAGTTCTGAAGGGCATGACCTGAAGATGTTTCACATTTGCTTGAGAAGATTGCACCCCTCCCCTCTACTCCAGGACTGTTGTCAAAAATTAAGTATCTTTTTGATCAAGGAACCCCTTCAACTCTGAGGCTAGTAACCTGTAGGCAGTTAGGCACCTTTTAAATGATCCAGAGCGACAGAGCTGGGAGTTTCGGTGCACAAAACCCCACTGCTTTGGAAAAGCTGGGGGGACCTGCTGGAGACTTCAAGGGCATCTACACTATAGGATTCATGGTGTTTTCCTTTTCTTGAAGGCCTATGGCTTGATGCTGTGGCATCCTGGGACTTGCAGGTCCTTCCCTTTCTGTGCCCAGGAAAATGCTATCTCCCAGGATTCCACAGCATGGAGCCATGGCAGTTAATGTGGGGGGTCAAACTATATAACTTCTACAGTATAGATGCACCCTGAAGGACACCCGTGGCCTCTGTTATCCCCTACTTCACTTATAAATCATGCTGTACCTTGATCTTTGTCCCCCATGCCCTAATTCTCCAGATGAAAGGCAGTAGCAAACCCAATGGGAAGCTCCAGATAAATGTAATTGTTTAACCAAGAACTGCCAATTTCCTACAATGGACCCCTTTCTCCTTCTTTCCATGAAAGTTACATGTCTCAGTAAGGGTTTCCATTCATAAGTGAGTCAACTCACACTCAATAGCAGACTGAGGTCTTCCATCATGTTCAAGAATGTGACAATGATATTGTCTAGTTTGAACCTCCGAGGTGCTGAAAGAATGGCTGCTAGTAAACTGCGTTTCCAGGGGTTGCTCAGGTGGAAAGGTCTACTTGAGAGGAACATGGCATAGGATTACTTTCTCTTAATGCCTGCCACTTATTGCATGGGTAAAGCCAGAGTGGTCGCTTCCCAGATTGATGTGCTGATGTTGATGCTGTTTGACTAATTCAAATGCTCAATTTTGGGACAAAGCTTTTCCTGCTTGGAATTAGGACCCATACACACGGGAAGCAGAACAATTTGGGTGTGTGATTTTGTTGGCTTAGGATTAAAAAAAATGTTCACTCAAGGAATCTCTAGTTTCTTTAGTGCAACTGTTAAGGTCAAGAAAAATATAGATGTCCAGTGGACATCAGCCAAAGAGGCCTTAACCCCAGCAAAGGTGGGAGACTGACTGTAGTTTGATATTTTGTTATATTAAAATTATATCTAGTTTATGCGTTGCCTGCTCTCCTGGCTTTGGCCTTTAGAGGGAAGCCTTACCCCATTTTCCCAGGATGGGACAAAACAGAGCCTGATGGCTATCGCAGGAGATTTAGCTTGTTCAGGGTGATGTGAACCAGAAGCAAGCCCATGGCACCTTAGTCTTCTTCCGTGGGCCTTCTAGTTCATTTCTGCTTGAAGCACAAGGGCTGCCTAGCATGTTCCTTTGCAATGAAATTCATGATCGGAGTTCTTGATGGCCTAGAAACAATTTGTTTGGCTAAGGAACAGATTCTGGGGGACTTGAGTAGGGGCTATAAGGGTTTTCATGTTGTCACCTCTTGGACAGCTGTCTCCTGAATGTCTTGCTGGTGGGCTTCCCATTGGGACATCTGCTTGACCATTGGTGGAACAAAGGGTTTGACTAAAGAAACCAATCATCTTGGTGTCTTATAGGAACCTTCCAGGCTTCTTCTAATAGAAATCTTGTCACCTTTTTACATTCCTCTGAGTTCAGCTCGGCTGGGCTGGAGAGCAATTGAATGTCCCTCATGGTTTAGATATTTGAATGTGGAAAGAAAGAAAAGGAAAGGTTTGATTTGCTTTTCCACTGATCTTTAAATCACTCAGATTTCAAAATAGGAGACTTCCAGTGGGGGTGATTGAACTCCTATTGCTAAAAATGGAACTCCAGTTGACATTAGAGACCAGAGTGGGACTCTCACAAAACCAAGAAGGTGTCCCCATATTATTACACTTCAAAGTACCACCACTGTATCCATTTGATGAAAAGCCATTTATATCCTCTTTGTCCAGGTAGGTCAATTCTCCAGTCCTTGGCAGAGAAACTTCTCTTGCTCTGTCTCAGACCTGATCCTTCTAACTGGAGAAGCTAAGGATCAGTTCTGGCCCATGTCTCCAGGCAAAACCACCTACTTGGTCCCTGGGATATAGACCTTTCCCCCCAGCAGCCTTCTTTGTGTTGATGTAGCCTCCTCCTAGCCATTGTCATCTTGGGCAAAGGTCATTGCCACTTTTTAAAACCATATCCATAATGCCAGTGGATTCTGCTGTATTTGCTTCCTTCATGAAGTTATACGTTCCTCAGAGAGACATGGACGTCCAGCGCAGCCAATGGCCCTGAGGCAGATTTGCATGAGGACCTTCCTCCTCTCCTTGGTTTGATTTGAAATAGGAAAGAAGGAGAAACTTCTGGACAATTGTTGGTGTGTTTTTGGAAGCCCAACCCCTTTGGAGAGCTCACCATGGTTCTGGCCCTGCTATTATTGGTGCTTCTTAATTACTATGCCGGTAAGGTAGAGAAAGGTTTGAAACTGTCCCTAAAGGGCAACAAGGCAATGGTAGATGAACCAATTGTTTTTCCATGTGTTTTTCTCTTTTGTCAAAGGTGTTCATTCCCAGGGGTTGATTCAGACGGCTTCAATGTCTGGGTCCCTGGGACAGACGGCCACACTCTCCTGCACCAAAGGCAGTGGGAACTGGAACAGTGCTGTCTACTGGATTCAACAGAAATCTGGAGAGGGCCCTTGCTTTGTCCACTGCAATGGCTGCAGCAGCAGGGGACCAGGGATCCCAGATCGGTTCACGGCATCCATTTCTGGAAACACAGGCTCTTTAACCATCACAAATCTGCAGGCCGGAGACGAGGCCGATTATTACTGTTTGTGTTGGTATAGCACAGGCAGCTCGTATCACAGTGGTTCATTCTCATGGGGAAGTGAGACTAAAACCGTTGCTTCTCCTCCCAGGAAGAGGAAAGTCAGCGACTCTGAACCTTTTAGGTTGCAAATGTAGTAATCTTTTTGAGAAGAATCAATGAGCTTTTGTTTTTTACAAATAGACTGAATATCTGCATGTCTGAGGAGCACTGTTGAATGCTAAGCAGACTGATGATCAAGGCACCCTCTCACCTTTTGGGGCAGTATCTTGTCATCTGTGAGGTGCCCTTCAGGTGAATCAGGGAGAGAAGGCTTGGAGATTCAGTACAGAATATTCCATGCCTAAAGAAATGCTGGAGGGACCTGGTAGAGGCTTCAGGAGCTTCTACACTTTGGAATTCATGCATTTGACCCCACTTAACCTGTCATGGGTCTATGCTATAGGATTCTGGAAGTTGTAGGCCTTCTCTACCCAAGAGTGTGGATGCCTCACCAAAATGTAGTTCCTATAATTTCGTACCATACCATGGAGTGAAAGTGGGATCACAGTAAACAAATTCTACAGTTTAGATGCACCCCATGCCTTGATTCTTGTCCTTCATTCCATGATTCTCCAAATTAAAGGTAGTAGCAGTTTTGGTGAGAAGCTGAAGATCAAGCATGGAGCTGCTACTGGTGCAATACTGCATTAAAGTACAGCCGGCCTTGAATTCACTCAAGGAATCCCTAGGTCCTCCAGTGCAACTGTATGGTCAGCTTTAAGCAGAAAAACATTGTGTCCAGCAGGAATTGACCATGGAGTCATGCTGGGGGATCTACGTATTTCTAAAGTGATGTTTTTTTCAGGTTACTAAATAGCAAGATTTCCATGGTAGTTTCCACTTTTGCAGTGGCACTGTGCCCTTAAGCCAAGTGAATGTGCAGGATGGACTGTAGTTCGCTATTTGGTTGCCTTACATTTCTCCTGGCTTTGGCCTTTAGAGGGAAGCCTTTTTCCACCTCCCCAAGATGAGAGAAAAGAGAACTTGATGGTCAACACAGGAGATCTTCGGGGGGATGTGAAGAAGGAAGACCTCCATGAGACTTAACCACTCTTCTAGAACCTTGTAGTTCATTCTTGAATTAAGCTGCCATGCAAGTTCCTTTAATTATGACATTCATGGTCTGAGATGAAGATCAAAGTCTTTCGTGAGCTAGACACAGCTTTCTTGGCTCTGAGGATTAGATTCTGGGCAAAGTGAAAGGAGGGTTTTGCAGTAGCCTTCATGTTGCCTGTCACTTGAGTGTCTTGCTGGTGGGCTTCCCATTGGAACATCTGCTTGACCACTGTTGGAATAAAAAGGTGGAAGGTGGATTAGAGATGTCTTTAGACTTGATGTTTTCGCAGGATTGACTTCCTGATGTTAAAAACTGGCCTTAAAAGATGATGTTAGAGGCCAGAGTTGGACTCTTAGAAAACCAGGAAGATGTTCTCATGTTATCACATGTTGAAGCACCCTGCTGCTTTGAGACTCATCTAAGCCAATTTAGATCCTCCAAGCCATCCTCATCCTGGGCAATGGCCATCTCCATTTTATAAAAAGAATCATGTCAATGGATTCTGCTGTCTTTGCTGACGCCATTTGGTTACGCATTACTGAGAGAGACATGAGGTTCCAGTACAGCCAATGGTCCTGGGGCAGATTTGCATGAGGATCTCTTTTCTCATTTTGGGTTGAATTGAAAAAGGAAGGAAAAGGGAACCACCCAGAAACTTACAGGTTTGTTTCAGAAAGCACAACTCCTTTGGAGAACTCATCATGGCTCAGACCCTGCTGTTCTTGGTGCTTCTCAATTACTATGCTGGTAAGGCAAAGAAGAGTTTTAGATAATCCCTGAAGGGCAACAAGGGAAAATTAGATAAACCAATTGAACTTCAATTTGTTCCTCTCATTTGTCAAAGGTGTCCACTCTCAGGGGATATTGTCTCAGCTGGCTTCAACATCTGAGTCCCTGGGACAGACAGTCACACTCTCCTGCACCAAAAGCAGTGGAAGCTGGAGCAGCTATGTTAACTGGATTCAACAAAAATCTGGAGAAGCCCCTCGCTTTGTCCACTGCAGCGGATGCAGCAGCAGGGGACCAGGGATCCCAGATCGGTTCACAGCGACTGCTTCTGGGAACACGGGCACTTTAACCATTACTAATGTCCAGGCTGAAGACGAGGCCGATTACTACTGTTTGTGTTATTACAGCACAGGCAGCTCGTATCACAGTGGTCCATTCTCATGGGGAAGTGAGACAAAAACTGTTGCTTATCCTCCCAAAAAGAGGAAAGTCAGCAGTTCCAATGAGCATTCTCTGAAGATGTTTCATATGTGTTTGAGAAGATTGCATGATTCTCCACCCCCCCCCCTTTAAAAATAAATAAAGTCCACTGAGCCTTGACTGAATATCTGCCTAGTTCAGGAGAGCTGCCAAAATTGTGCACCTTGATAACCAAGGAACCCTTTCACCTCCTGGGCCAGGAACCAGTAGACAGCTAGATGATCCAGGGCGGCAGAGCTGGGGGTTTCATTGCACAAAACCTCACTGCTTTTGACAAGTTGGGGGGACCTGCTGAAAACTTCAAGGGCATCTACACTGAAACCCCGCCCTAACCCCAACCTCAAAAACCCTCATGCTGTTTTGACAAGATTGGCGGATGCAGGAACCTCGCGAAGAAAACTTCACAGGCAGGCGATCTTACAATGCAAGAAATCGTGTACTCGCTGGTGTGTTTGCCTTCCACGCGAGATGACGTATGAACTGAAGTTAAGGCGTAGCAGTGGGTGTGCTTGCAGGGGGCTGTTCCCCAGTCTGTGCACAAGAAACGGCCTGCCAGCATGGAACTAATGGCGCAAGGGGACAGCGGGACGAAAACAAAAAAAAAAAAAAAAAAAAAAAAAAACAAAAAGTAAAAAAAAGGAAAAAGAGAGGAAAAAAAATCAAAAAAAAAGAAAAAAAAAAAGAAAAAAAGAAAAACAAAAAAAGAAAAAAAAAAAAAGAAAAAGACTAGGAAAAAAAAGAAAAAAAAAAAGGAAAAGGAAAGAAGAAAAAAAAAAGGGAAAGGAAGAAAGAAAGAAAGGGGTAGAGAAGGAAGGAAGGGAAAAAAGGAGAAAAAAAAAAAAGAAAGCAAAGAAAAAAGAAAAAAAGAAAAAAAAAAAAAAATAAGAAAAAAGAAGGAGAAAAACAACAAAAAAAATTAAAGGGAAGTGGGAAGAAAAGAAAAAAAAAAAAAAAAAAAAAAAAAAAGAAAAAAAGAAAGAAGAAAAGAAGGAAAAGAAAAAAAAAAGAAGGAAAAAAAAAAAGATATAAAAAAAAAAAAAAAAAAAAAAAAAAAAAAACAAAAAAAAAAAAAAAAAAAAAAAAAAAGTAAAAAAGAAAAGAAAAAGAAAAAGAGAAAAAGGAAGAAGAAGAAGAAAAAAAAAAAAAAAAAAAAAAAAAAAAAAGAAAGAAGAAAAAAAAAAAAGGAAAAAAGAAAGGAAAGGAAAGAGAAAAAGAAGGCAAAAAGAAAGAAAAAGAAAAGAGAACGGGGACGTAAGCAGACTAAGGGGGCGGTTTGGACACCGAAAAAAAGTGGGGGGCGAAGGATGCAAGATGGAAGAGGGCGACAAGCTAGGACAGAGGACGTGGTGACCAGAGTATGCAATTAAGGCTCATCAGGGGAGCCTTCCTAGACCAAACCTCACACATCGTAACCTTAAAGAACGCACACTGAGGTTTAGAGGGTGGAAAGGAAGAGACGAAACCAATGCAAACGGGCACGAGAGAGAGACCCAAAGACTTGTTCTCACGACATGCCTAAATGCACCAGGCGAAAATTACTAACAAGCGTTAAACTCCACCCACGAAACTTGTAAGCGTTAAAAGCAGTATAAGGCCGCGTGTAAATATTTTTTATTTAAGCGTTATTTAAGCCAAGGTGTGGCCTAGAGACACCTTAACTAGTTTCCTACTACACTTGGCGGTCGTATTAGATGGCTCCACATATATATGCGCCACCTCCGGCCCCAATCGTTTCATCCCCGATGTGACTAGGTTTTCAGGCGCTCCGAACCTGCACTTGCCACGTACCGTGAGTATTTAGTTTTTAGTTGATCCGTAGATCAGGTGGTGAGAGTCCCTATTATCACCCAAACAGCTCAGCTGCTACTGTAGGAAGCTCAGCTTTGTGTCCTCAAGGTGACTAAAGGAGGGCAGACGGCGGGTCTGTTGAATTCGTATTTTCTATACATGTCAACGAAGTCCAATGCGCCCTCGTATAAAAAACTGCCCTACATTGTACGACGGGTAGCATTTTAATGGTTAATAATCACACACCGGCAACAGTAACTCCAAGGTGAGTGCTGGATGGGGACCCGGGAGCCCAGTCAGGGTTCTGTGTCTGCGATAATATTGAGACTAGGGAAATGTAAATGAGTGATATATTTTTTCAGTTGTATTTAATATGTCGCGCGGCGAGATCACAGCAACTTACCTTCACTTACTACTACTCGCGATCACCCACCCTTTACTCCCAACCTCCATTGACGGGCCAGAAAAAGCAGAATAGGATGAGACCCTGAACGAACTGTTACACCAAATAAGTGCTTGCACAGATGTGAAGGTCATCTTCTCCTTTCCGCCTCCCCTGGAAAGTATCCTTCCGTCTGAGGCGTACCGATCAGTCCCTCCCCATGTTCTTTCATTCTTTCACTTTATGCTTCGGTAGGTCTGATAGTCCCG